TTTTGATAGACATCCCAGAATGACTGAAGAGGCTTGGAGTGTGATCTCACAGTAGAATACACACACCTAGAATATGCTTGGAGCTTGAATCCACTTCCAAATCCATAAAAAAAAAAAAAAAAAAAAAACTAACAGAGAAAAAAAAGAGAGCTCTCAGCTTGGGGATATCTTTGAGATAGCCTAAGGTTATTTTAATTCAAACATCTGTCCACCTTTACTAGGCAGGAGACTGAGTGAGCAATACCATCACCATGGTTAGATGGTTTCTAAAATTAGGAACCGGAGACTTGTCCTCTACACCCCACCTCTGTGTGCCCATGACTGATGAGTGGACACTTTGTAACTGTTAGAATTCTAAAATATCTTATGAATATCAGAGGTTTTACTTACCTCCTCATCCCATTTTACGAGAGGGTCAAGCCAATCCTAAGGAGCCCTACAGCTTGCTCACGTCAGGTAGGAACCTAAGTGAGCCGCTGTCCATAAAGATTATCAGGTTAGACTCACTGGACCTTACATGGTGGGAGTGAAGCAAGAAACCAGAGCTATCAAAAGGCAAAAACATATGAGGACAAGCTTCAACTCACAGTAAGGAGGAGACACTCCCAAGGCAGCAAGCCCTTCCTGATACTGTGAGCATGCCAGCTCTGGAATGGTGAAAGATGGAGTTTAGAGATCAAAAGCTCTGTAACTCCAACATAAGCAAAGCTTTCATGTCAGACCTCCATGCTGAGCCCAGGAGGCACAGTCTGTAATCTATATTTTCACGACTGCCCTTACAAACAAACATTAGCTTGTCACAGCTAAGCAAGACACCAGAAAGACCGGAAAACTTACATATAACTGCAGAATTAATGAGAGAGAGAGAGAGGCAGAATTAAGCAACCTTGAAATTGTGGTTCCTAAGAGAATTAAAGCAGAAGCAAGAAGTGGACAGAAGCCGAGAACACACTAAAAATGGGTGAATTGTTTACAGTGAGGAATCTGGGGGTTCTTCAAAGGCTTTCAACCTAAAATGAGGAGGAAATAAAAGTCAGAGCAAGATACTACCTTCTCTGTAACCGAAAGACAAGAACTGCAGCTCTAATCTGACACAGGAATGAAAACAGGGTAGAGGCAGAAACTTCAGCGTGGAAAGAGAGGAACTCAGCCTACATGGGACCTTGCAGAGCCTAAGCTGGGTGTAACACTTAAAGGGGAGTGTGCACCCACCGCCGCAGATCTGCTTGTCTTGAAGCTGGGAGCAAAAAGTGGGCAGATACCAGGAGCTGAGTTTCTAAAATCCAGGATCCAAGGCAGAGCCAAAGGTCATGGGCTGGTGCCAGGAAATCTGAGAGCTGCTGTCAGGATCCTGTGACCTTAGTTAAGGCCTGGCTCTACCGCTGTCATTCCTCTGAAAGCAAGGGAAAGGACCGACAGATGGGTTTGTAGCTTAAGGTGTGGGCAGGGCTACGAACCACTTGTAGAAGAGTTGGTCGGACTCTTTCCTCAAGTGACATGTGTGTTTCCAAAGGACACAGGCAAGTAGGGTAGAAAGTAGCGTGCACACGTACACTTACATACATGAGCATCTTTATCGATAGATATTCAGACATCAAATGACCTCCCCAAGGCATGAAAAAATACACAACACTATTAGCTTGAGCTAACTGAAAAGGGGCTGAATTCTTGCCCCTAAGAAGATGATACTTATTTATTTATTATAAGTTTAAACACGGAGATGAGAAAAATAGCCTATTAATCCAGTGCAAACAATGTCCCAGGCATGATGGCAAAAGCCCCTGAGGGGAAGTGGAATGAATCCAGAGAGTAAAATGAGCATATTGACCAGGTATAAGGGAGTTGTTTTATGTTGGACATATCTGTAATGGTTTTCAACGCTCGTGAGCTCCAACATAACTTTTCATTCCTCATAATCTATTTGTATCTATGTGTGTATACCTAGCAACAGGCGGTGGAGGAAAAGGTTGCAGATAGCATATACACCTATACCTAATTGATACAACTCTGTCTAGTTCTAAATGAAGTACAATTGCAGGACAATTTCACCCATTTAGTTATAATATTATGAAGATAATGTGTTCAGATTTCTTGAAAGCAAACAATATGATCTTACCGCCAAAATGTGAGATTCTGCATGTAAGTGAATTCCATTCTGTCATTCTAGAAGGTGACATTTCAAAGCATCATGTTATAGACAGTAGACATATGTAATTTTAATATATCTATCAAATAAAAGGTAACTATATCATAAAGTTATTTTAGAGGCCATAAAGTTCATGTGACATCTCCCCCAAGAATGGGTAATGGTCTGGGGAGGGAAGAGTCTGGAATAATCATTCTGGGGAGTTTGGACAAGATCTGGCCCCTCAGATAGCAAAAAGGTCACCAAGGTGTTAGCAACCTCCACTCTTAGCTTTCTGGATGGGATGTTGGTATTTGATTTTATCTCCTCTGTTGGGGAGAGACACATGTGGGATTAACATTCCTGGTTCTCACGGTTCCTCTCTGGGAATGCAAGGACCTCTGTGCCCCTGAAGCTGAGGATGTAGCTGAGCCTTTCTGCAGGGAGGTCTGGGTTCAATCCCCAGCCCCCTAAGCCTAGCATGGTAGCACATGACTGTAGTTCCAGCACTCAGGAAGATGAGACAAGACGATTAGAAGTTCTGTGTCATCTTTGGCTGCAAAGAAAGTTCCAGACAGACTTGTGTACATAAGAGTCTGTCACAAAAATAAAATAAATCAAAGATAACCACATGTATTTACACACATATCACCGCAAACATACCATCCATGAGGGGTTTGTTTATTTATTTATTTATGTAAAAAGACGTTATCATCAGACTGCAGCTTGCTTTTTTCACTTAACAAAACAACAGATAGCACAGTGAAAGCTATAGACTAGCTTGACCAGAAATAACTGGAGCTCTGCCCTCAGCTGGCCTGCATTGAAACCACAGCTGTGCTGCTTGCTAACTGCGTGTTCTGTGAAGTTGCTTACATTTGTCAAACTGTAATTTTTTATGCATAAAAATGGGAATGATGATAATGTCGTTTGTTAGGATTCGAAGGGGGACTATCATTAAAAAGGCATGTAACATACATGTAACTACCGTGTGTGGAACAGGCTGAGCAGTGATTCAAGTGTTAAGGGGTGTTAGCCATCTGAGCTCTTCAGAGACAACATATGAGTAATAAGGATATACTACAAAATGTTCTTTTAATTTTTATCACCATTAGTCACTGTGCAAAGTGTGGTTTCTGTTATGCTTTATCCAAATTGGGCCTATTTACGTCTTTTTTTCTCCATTTATATTGGTTTTACATTTTTATTTGTATGAGACTGTCCCTATCAGTCCCTGAGACTTATTTCCAACTGTCTTTCATATTTTCTGGCATTTTAAACTAAAATACTCTTCTCTATTACATTTTCCAATACAAGCAGAATATGACTATTTCCTCTTCATGTCTGACAGCCACACACCTGTGTTCTCAGGACCTGAAGAGAGGAGGCAGGGAAATTGTAACTTCCATTCAGCTTGGGAAGACTGCACAGCAGGGCCCTGTCTCAAAAAACAGAAACAGCACGAGTCCCTTTAAAGTTATCTAATCTCTGGACAGATTGTTAAAACCTTCATTATTCTTTACATGGTTTTTAGGTCTTCATTTCCTTAATACACGCTCAAGTTGTTTAAGAACAATAATAATTGCATCTTTGCAGATGTTTATAGCCCTTTTCCTTGGCGTTTTATTAGGGTATATTGATTGTACGAAATAATGGGTTTTGTTGTGACAGCTTCATGCATGCACAGGATCTAATTTGGCCATCATCACACCCTTCGCTCTCTCATGAACTTGTTCCTCTTCTATTTCCCTTGTAGCCTTCGTCTACTTTAATGTCTTCTTTTTCCCCGAGTCCACATTCGAAGAAAGCCATGCAATGCCCGGCATTCTGCCCCTGACTTGTTTCCACTTCTACCCAGTTTCCTGAAAATGGTATGATACTGATTTTCTGTAGATCTTAAAACGCTCCAGTGTTTATATACCCAGATCTGCTGGACACCTTCCACGCATCCTGTTTCTTTGGTCTTCGGTTATCATCAGCTTAACATACCACTTGAGCAAAGTGGCTTAGTAGTGACAGTGGGGCACCTTGTCTTTACTGCATATGTGATGTCGGTAGAAAGGGGCTCTGAGAGTCTAGATTTTAAGTCTAAATTGTTGTGATACTTAAATGTTTAACATAAAAGCCAAAATAAAAAAGAAACAAATTTAAGTAATTAATTTCAGTAGCACAGGTCGTTCCTTGGGTAATATTTCCATATTGAAGGGGAGAGCTGGCTCCGAAGTTCCCAGTGAAAATTTCGTATTTTGTTATTTCTGTGAAAATGTTAAATATTGGTCACATTTTCTCTGAGGGTTTATGGGATGCTTATCTCAAGTGTATGTCTAATAAGCACCACTAATTAATTTAGATGTGCTTTGTTATACCGTCCATATCATCACCTACTCCAGAAATCCGGAGGGAAAAAGTTTTAGTGGGAGGATCTTATGGATGCAAAGGGCTTGAATGAGAGCATCCTGACTCAGAGAGGAGATTGGCACCTCGGTCTCTAAAACCAGTGTGAAATGGAAGCTAAGGAGTTGGTCAAAAAACAAATATATATGAATATATATATATATATATATATATATATATATATATATATATATATACATACATCTATTCGGATGGGGAAATGAGAGCTCCAGCATACCGAGCCACACAAGTTTCTCACAATAAAAGGAGAACTCTCATCCTCCAAGAGGCCATTTAGAATTTTTTAACTTGTATGGTGTTACTGTTTTGTATCTATTTTTAATCTAATTTCTTTAACTAAATATATTTTAATTGCAGTGGGATTTCATTGAAGGCCAGAGGGTAGGAGAGACACTCTCTTAATCAACCGGTTCTTCACACCTTTCCCAAATTCTTCCAAAATCTATCCAGAGACAGGGAGATGAACAACCACAGCAGCAGCACCTCAGACTTCATCCTGCTGGGTCTCTCTTCCAATCCCTGGATGCAGAAACCCCTTTTTGCCATCTTCTTCACCATGTACCTGGTCACCGTGGTGGGGAATGTGCTCATCATCCTGGCCATCCGCTCTGACTCCAGGCTCCACACCCCCATGTACTTTTTCCTCAGCAACTTGTCGTTGATGGATATCTGCTTCACAACAGTCACTGTGCCCAAGATGCTAGTGAACTTGCTCTCAGAGACAAAGACTATCTCCTATGTGGGATGCCTCATCCAGATGTACTTCTTTATAGCTTTAGCAAACACTGACAGCTACCTGCTGGCCTCCATGGCCATTGACCGACTGGTGGCCATCTGCAATCCTTTACATTATGATGTGGTGATGAGGCCACGACGCTGCCTCCTCAT